CAACACCAGGACACTACAAAGGCCTCCTGCCCGGATTTTCTCTCCATTCTGCTCAATTAAAGGGAGCCAGCCAGTTTCCTCAACAGTTTCCTATTAGTAGAATGACCATGTAGTTTACCATCCACCAGACATTTGAGAGTAAAAAGGGGTGCTAATTATTAAGGATTACACCAAGACAAGAAGCATAAGCCAGGCCTGTGGCAGGCAAGCCTTTACACAGCCACACGAATAGTAAAGAACAACCCTTCCGAAAATGCAAATGGATAAAAACTGCCACAAACAGATATTATGAGGGAGACAGCATCTGGTGGGAGGACTCAGGATCCAGAAAAAACAAGTTGAAATTAAGAAAAAACTGGGCCAAGCGCAGCCTGAAGCATGAGATATAAATTAACCTGACTCTGAGTTTCTTTTTTACCCCATCTTAAATCAGTGTACAAATCAGATTCAATAGTTGACTTGTGACCTCATGATCTCCTAGTTTGTTCTTCATGACTTCAGTTCTTGGGCTGTTTAAAGTATAAGCTACATGGGCGGTTGGACACAGTCAACATCTATCATTAAGGAGGGAGTCATTCCACACCATTAGAATCATTCTTTATTAAGAAAAAAAAAAAAGCTTCCATTTTACATATATCTTTAGGATCCTCACTAAAACCAGTAAACTAGTACAAATGCAAAGTCTTAGATGGCCACTTTGAGTGAAACAAATGTCACGTGAGTGTGAGAAGTGCTGGTGAGCACAGTCAATGCTGTTCCATGATAACTACATTGACTGTTCTGTTTTCCCTGTGAAATTATAACTTACCCACCCTTTTCAAGTACAGTAAGTCCTCAGTTAATATCGTTGACATGTTTCAAGATGTTAAGTGAAAAGGCGTAACAAAACCAATTTTATCATAAGCTAATTTACATAAATAAAACTTAAGTTCTTACAGCATCTCATCAGTGTTTTAAGGAAACAATTCTGAACAAAACGTCATAGCTGTTGTTTTTTAGTAGATTCACATGTTTGTGAATCAACTGTTTTTTAAATCAACCTTTCTCCCTTCTTCAACAGTCAGCTAGCTGCCTTTAAAAAATCCCTGTCCCCAACAACTTCACACACCCCTCAAGTAATTTTTAACCTAAAGACTGGGAAACCACATTAGTTCTACATACTGTGTTAAGAGACAATAGATGTGTTCTTCAGCCCTGGCTCACACAAAACAATCTTAACTACTCAAAGCAAGAGCAGGGAGTGGCCCACCCGGGTCCACAAAGGAGGGGACGCTGACCCACACTGAAGTGTAGCTAGGGATCTAAGCAGACACAGCTCGCTTAAGGCTTCGGAGTGGAAAAAGTAGGTCTCTACCCACTCTACCCAGGGTACTAACCCAAGCAGACACTCATCTTAGATTAACAAACACGCTCTTACATATGCAAATATATTGGCAAAGAGCTGGGCTACCATTCACATAAAAGTGTTAATTATTATGTAAATTATGTTTAAGACCCAAAGCAAAGAGCCTGCTGGGAGTGGCAAAGCAAAGACTTAATTCCTGAGCTTGGAGTACCTACTTGGAGGAGCAGGCTGGCTGGGGGTTTTAATAGCAGCCACACTGAGCTAGCTTTTAACTAAATTTTACCACAACTCTTTTAGATAGATAACGTCATCCCCATTTTTCAGATGACGAAACTGAGGGCACAAATTAAGCAACAGCTTGCACTAAGCGGGTATTAAGCAGTGCAGGAGCCATAGCCGGTTTGGCTCAGTGGATAGATAGAGTTTCACCCTGAAGACTGAAGGGTCTCGGGTTCCATTCTGGTCAAGGGCCTGTACCTCGGTTGCAGACTTTATCCCTGGCCCTTGTGGGAGGCAACCAATCAATGTGTATCTCTCACCATGGATGTTTCTCTCTGTCTCTCCCCCTCACTTCTACTCTCTCTAAAGGTAGGGGGTGGTTTCCCTCTGCCCCTACTTCTCTCCCACCTGAGGCTTAATGCCCGCACACCACCAGCAGACAGGAACTCCTCAAGGGTGCTGCCAGCAAGCCCAGGGCTCTAAGCATAGAATCTCTGTGATGTGTTCCTTCAACCACCTTAGAGAAGAGCTTTTAGAACCCAATCCCAAAGTTAGGAGCACAGTTCCTAAGAACTTAAGAAAAGAGTTTCCTTTTGCGTGGTTGAAGGTACATCAAACTCACTTTTTCAGAAGCATTTCCATTTGATTTGTACTACCACTTGGCAAAGAATGACCTCAAATATGATGTATTTACTGATGGATTTCCTCCACTTTATCAACAGGGGAAGTGTGGTTCAAAGCGATTAATAGTCCAGGACTTTATAAGATGCACCAGCCTCCCCTGGATTTCTGTCCATTTGCCTGAGACCAGAAGTCCGGTTCTCCTAAGTAACTCCGCCTCAGCCCTGGGTGTTCCTCAAGAATCCCTGTCCAGGCTGACCTGGCAGGAAATCTGTGAAGATGTGGTAGGCAAGATAACATTTGAATTTGTCATTTACTGAACACTTACTAAATGTCAGGCATACAGGAGGCATTCTATCAGGAATTCCAAATGGGAACACTGAGGTTGAGAGAGGAGGTACAATCAAACCTCGTTTCTCGAAAGTCTCCCATCTCAAACAATTCAGTTTTCAACCAAGTTGTCCACAGAAAAAAAAATGTCTCAGTTTTCAACCTGACAACCCTTTCATGATGATACCTCAGCATGACAGAAAGTGTCCCTCAGGCAACAAACAAAGGAGAGAATGCTTTTATTGCTGGTGAAATTGATGATTAGTACAATTTTAAAACATAAAGAGTGTTAATGTTGCTAAGGGTATGAATGTGCTCACAAAACAACAATTACAGGCACTTGAATAGGTAGAAAAACTGTTGTTGATTGGATAAAGAAAAAGCAGTTAGCTGGTAGCATTTCTGTGGCAGTGATACATGAAAATTTTGTGTAAGGCTAGTATGGGATAGTTTGATAAATTTAAGAAAAGAAGTGCTTATAAACAGTATATTAGACATGTATTGTATATAAGAAAGGTTAAAACAGGGAATCATTTGGGGGTCAGGGTTGGATTAATTCAATTTACAAAATTCTAATAGGGGAAAATGATTCTGTTTTCGAGCAAATCACTTCTCAAACAACCTTCCAGAACGAATTAAGTTCGAGAGAGGAGGTCCAATGTAATTTGACCAAGGCCACAGAACCAGTGAGTGGCTGAGCCAAGAATCCAAATAAGGTGCCCAGCCGGCGTGGTTGAGCTTGGACCTAAGAACCAAGAGGTAACTGTTCAATTCCCAGACAAGGCATATATCTGGGTTGCTAGCTCCATCTCCAGAGGGAATGTGCAGGAGATAGCCCATTAATGATGTTTCTATTTCTCTGCCCCTCTCCCTTCCTCTCTCTAAAATCAATAAAATTTAATTTTGAAAAGATATTGTTGCATCCTACCCAGTTTGGCTCAGTGGATAGAACGTTGGCCTGCAGACTGAAAGGTCTTGGGTTTAATTCTGGTCAAGGGCATATGCATCTGTTGCAGGTTCGATGCCTGGCCCTGGTCACGTTATTTGGCCTTGGTCAAAACACAATCTATCAATGTGTTTCTCTCACATTGATGTTTCTCTCTTTATCTCTCCCCCACCCTTCCACTCTTTCTAAAAATCAATAGAAAAATATCCTCAGATGAGGATTAGCAAATAAACAAAATATATATTTCTGTATCACTCAGAAATCTTATTTTATGCATACTGAAACCTTTTAAGTATGTCAATCTTGTGCAGACATAAAGAGTAAAGTATAAGCAAAATAAACTGGGTAAGATATACGTAAAACAACTTCTCAAAGAGACAAATATCCATGCTGCTCCACACACTATCGCCCCCTGTGACAAAAGCATTCTGCATTTGTTCTACAGGCTTTGATGAATGTGTGCAACCACACACTCATGGTGACCACGGGCCTGGCCAATCAGAATTGAAGGGTATGTTCAAATACAGGAGAAGTTTGCATCTTGGAACATGGGATAGTCAGACTCAGCCCTGTTTTCCCACTAGACTGTGATGATCTCTTTACATGCCTGTTTCCCTTCCTGTAAATTTTACTGATCACCATTCATTGGCCATCTTTTTCTGATCACCAAAACCCTGGCACACAGTAGCACCTGTAAATGTTTAAATGTCCAAGGTCAAGTAGCAGTGCTATGTAGAACTGGGAGCATCTGGATTTCAAGGAACCCAAAGGTGGAAGGAACAGAGAAAAAAGAATGAAAAGCCACATATGGTTTATCAGCAGCGGGTTCGTCTCTGGGCTGCTGTCAGCATCACCCATTGTACCACCTCACTCTGCAGTGTCAAGGGATATCATCTGAGGAGCTCAGTGAGCAGTTCAGACAGCATCCCCACTACTCAAAAAATAAAAACACCTCTGCAAGCAGCCAGGTAAGAATTAGTCTTTAAACCCTTTCCCAGCAAGCCTGACACAGGCCTCTATTATCACATCTGGAAACAACTGCTACACTCCCAAGGGGCAACAGATGAAAGCTGAGCACAAAGAAGGTGGCTCTACTCATTTTATTGCTTCTCGCAGTTGCAACCTTATTTTTGTGCAGTTATATCTTTAAAACCAACCAAGAACATCTATGTGAATTCCATAAACATTCAGTATAGGTATGCATATAAGATCTTTGGTTAATCTCTTCTTGTCCCCTCTGCTCCCCCCCCCCCAAAAAAAAAAAAAGGGAGGGGGACATTAGTGATACTTTCAACAATAAAGGTAAATTAAAAATAAAAGTAAAAACAAAAGAATCAGCATATGTTCTTTGGTACATCACCTCACAAATATAGATGGGAGGAAAATCCCAACTCAGAGTTAGGAGGGATGGCCACATTTTGTCTCATTCAATCTAAGGATAAAAATTAGAGTATCACCCTAGTCAGTTTCGCTCAATGGATAGAGCATTGGCCCTCAAATTGAAGGATCAAGAGTTCAATTCCAGTCAAGGGCACATACCTGGGTTGCAGGCTCAATCCCTGGCTCCAGTCTGGGCATGTGCTGAGGGAGAGAACAAACTGATGTGTCTCCTTCACATTGATGCTTCTCTCTCTGTATTTCCCCACCCCTTTCACTCTCTCTAAAAAAAAAAAAAAAAAAAAAAAAATGGAAAGCATCCTTGGATGAGAAGTAACAAAAAAATTAGAGTCCTAGAGCAATGATTCCCAATCAGAGGTGAACACCACAATAGGTTCTTAGAAAACTGGAAACACTGTGCCTGCCACAGCCCTCCTAAGTCTCCAGGGGTAATGGCCAGGCACAGGTCAGGAGGGAACCTCTGGTGTGGCAGAGGATCCAGGGGCAGGAGCAGAACAAGGCTGCCCTGGGTTTGAGTCAGAACCATCCTGAATTCACCATATAAAAGGATTCATGTACTGTCAATTACTAACCCCAAGTCAAAATCTGGGAATAGTGAGGGGCCTGTTAAGTTGAGAGACAATGTGCAGGGAGGGTGGGCTGGGAAGGGGCAGACAGTCTTACCCTGGCTCCTCCAGCGCCTGGCACATACCAAGGACACCCAATATTTGCTGAACGAGATTCACATGGCTGATAAGCACATGGCCATGTACATCATCAAATGTCCACAGAGCCACCTACTATGTGCAAAAAATCTGAGTTGGCTCTGGCAACTTAACCAAGAGTTGTCCCTCACCTGTCCCCCTCCTTCAATTCATAGTGGAACAGGTTTTAGTTTTGCTTCAACTTCATCTGGCCTCTGCGTAGAGGTTTCTAGAAACATTTCCATGTTTAACAATTCCTAGTCAGAAAGGAAGCTGACTCTTGCCTCCAAATCACTGTTAACACATCCTCTGATATCCAGTTACGTAGATGCTTATCATTTTTACATTTTATGATTAAGACAAAATTCAAAGGTAAAAGAAAATGGGGACATATTTTTAATGCACAACAAAACTGGAAACCTTTTATCAAAAAAAGAACAATATCAGCCTTATCTCTCCAGAATGTAAAACAAAAGCAAATTTTGAATTATGGGAATTTCTCGGCTCTACCAGTATGAAATGTTATTAAGTAGTTTGTTTACTGTTTTCCATTCAATGAAAATACCCGATGAAGTTCTAATAGTCCCAGATTTCAAGAGAGGGCTGGGGGCTAGGGACTGATGGTTCCCTCAGCTGATAGTGCTCTTTCCCACTCTAACCACCATTGTCTCCCCAAAGGCTTTCAGATGAAAAGGCAGAGAGGGAGAAAGAGTTGAAAGAGATTCCACCAAAGGAAGCATCGCTCACAATGGCCTCAATAGTTTTTGGAATCAGCTGGCCCCAGGACACCCCAGCCATGGTGAGGGGTGATCTGAAAATGAAGCATATCAAAATGCTATTGATAAGCTAAATTACCAGACAGCTTATCTGAGGCCCACATCCGCCATATGGTGCCCCAACTTCTGCCGCCTGTTGCTGCTGCAACAATAGGCACGACTACCCAGAAAGCACCATCGGATAGAAGCCCAGCAGCAGTGGCATGCAGGGCAGGCTACTGTGTTTACATTTTATTCTGTGCTGTTAATTCTGGGCCTCCCCCTATCCCAGGAGAGATTTGAAGCACACATACACTCAATGTCAAAAATAGGTGTTTCCTACAGACACACACACCTCATGTGGGCGCGGGAATGGGTACACATCAGGTGAACAGAGAGAAAACCAGATGTCAACTTCAGAACTGGAGCTGCCTGGTGGGGGAGGGCGAGGCAGGCAGGCTCCTGGCTAGGGCTGCAAGCAGACAATAAGCTTTTCTCAAAACACTGGGGCGGGCGGGCCTTGGGGAGTGGCTATTTAAAACACTTGGCTCCTTTTATTTCACCGCCATGGAAGTGAATTCGGCTCTGAAGTGCCAGAGCAAATGAAGTCATTCGGTTTCCGCGGGCTCCCTTTGCATTCTAGCAGTAGAAGTGAGGCCAGAGAGAGAGTCGGGGAGTAGGAAGGTCCAGCTGAAGTTGTTCTTTCTTCCACTTAAAATCGATTCCACAGAGGATTTGGGGCCTGGGCTTCATTAACTTTCTTTTTTTCTTTGAAAAGACAATAAGATCATAGGAAATCTAAAGGACATTGGACACTGGAATGAATGCTGACAAAGACGACTCCCTTTACAAAATGCCATCAAGTCAAAGTGTACAGAATCCAGATAAGGAGATCGGCTTCTAAAGGCTGGGTTGGTGTAAAAGATTAATGATGACTTTGTCGAATGAATTCATAAGATTTCTGCCTTTCTTTCTACTCTCTTAAAAAAAAAAAAGGTTTCTATCTTTGCAGAGATGATATCCTTCATAGTAATAAAATATTCATTTCTTAGTTTACTATCTATTAGGGAAAAGACACTGGTTTCCAAAGAGAGCTCAGAACACATAGCATCTGGTTATGCAAAAATGCACAAGATGCAGGTTTGGGTAGGTGCAAAGTTAAAAAAGAAAGAAAGAAAGAATATAGAATCTTACCTAACACTCAGATCTAGTTAACTATTACAGAAAGGCACTCATTTCATCCCCCAAATCTCCCACACCTAAGCAGACAACATTCTTAGATGAACTTTTCAAATTTCTTAAACATTCTCAGTTTAAAAAAACACACACACACACAACTCCTTTCAAGTTAAATTGAGATTGCACTTGAACTCTGTCCAAGAGCTGAGCTGAACTGAATTATGATAATTAGAAAGCTGTGCTTATAAAAAAAAAAAAAAAAAAGGCAGTGCAGTTCATGCATTTTTTTTTAAAGTTCATGCCAGAGAATATAAGTTCAATATGTTCTCACATAATTAACATTTCCCACCATTAGCAGCAGTTTTTCAGTTTATATATCAGTAAAAACAACAGCACTCGTCATTGTTGTATATTCCCAGTCAATAGTGTTTCAGTCACTTAACACTTACGTCTAAACCTGTCAGATGCCTAAAAGCAACCAGAGATTTCCCACTGGAGACAAGAGTGACTTAACTTGTTCATCAATAAGCTGGATTTTTCTTTGAAACTCATTTTCCAGTGCTGGACCCTGTCCCTTAAACTAAAACTACTAATGAAATCCTAAGACAGAGATTTAATTAATTGGTTTTTAAACTAATGTGGGGGAGAAAAAGGCAGAAAGCACGGCATCAGGTAGTAAATATTGATTTAAAAAAAAAAAAAACGGGGAGGAGAGAGGGACCCATAATACAGCCAGCATGGAGCCTTCCTTTGGTCTGCCACAAAAGCAGAAAAGACAGCCTCCTAGAACAAACCCCCGCCCAATCCAATCAGAAGAGAGACCAGCGGTTTCACAGTTAGCCAGGACTCCCAGACTATGGAAACTATTTTTTTTTTTTGAGAATCCTCCCAACCATGCAAAAAGTCAGTGAACAAAAGAACTTAAGAGCTGAGAGTGAGCCACCCTTTAAGGAAAACCATCCTGAAAACCTACACTTCAGCACACCCGTTTGCTTTGATTAAAATAAAAAATACATAGTTCAATATTTTGAAATTCTCCTATCCTGCACCACTACGCAGTCCAAATGCATCTGGAGAAATGGCTGAATTTCAACAGTGAGTGTAAATATGGGATAAGGTCAAAAAGCTTGTGATGAGTATGTTAGATTAAGGACTCTTCAACAGTTAACAGCTTTGAAATAAAACAACATAAAAACCCACACAAAAACACTCCAGATATTTAGGTCCAAGTAATCTAGCATTTCAAAAACTACCCTAGAATAGGGAAGGTCCCAAACCTCACAGATTTCAGAAAAATCTAGTAATCATAATACAGGGGTGGGGTAAAGGGGGGAAGGGGGTTGTCCTCTAACATGGTATTTGCCAAAAAGCCCAACCCTGAAACAGTCAGTGCTTAGCATGAACCTGAGTTATTTGATACTATCACCTTTGTGAATATGGACGAATAAAATACATCACTGATACTGTTGAAACATGATTGGGATCTAATTTAAATGCCACAGGGTAATCTATGTCTTCAACAGATAAAAAGAAAAAAAGAAAAAGCACCACAAAGCTATAAAAGATTATTCCAGGCATCGGCGAGTCCACAGGAGCTCAGCAGCAAAGTCTAAGTTTCTCGAAGGGCAACAAAAGCTTACAATATACTTTTCTTACTGAATTCAGAAATAGAACATCAGTACTCTGCTGCTCCAGTCACTGAACTCTAAGGGTGAAACTGTCATGCCCCAAGTTATCAACAGATAGGTGGCCTCTGATTTCCCTACAGTTCTACAAAGAAAGCTGGACTCTTGCTCTGGCCAGCATTCTTCAGTCTTCGGAGAAAACAGGCCCCCAAAATTTTACCACTAAACAGAACCAACCTCTAAGCATAGCTTTCACTGAGCAATTTTTTTTTTCCTTTTGCAATCTCTTTATTAGAAACAAGACTAGGTGCTTAAAACACAAGCTTTAAAAGTGTTATCTGCCTGCTATCTGTGTGTAAACATGGTCATCTTATGTACACTAGATCATACATGCAGTTATTTGCACCAACCTTTTGAGTGATAAAATACAACAATTTTCATTTGCAGGCAGTATAATTATGCTCACAATTAACACGTAATAACACATGAGATTGGAGAAGAGTAATCCCACAGATATGCAGGTCTTTTTACAACCCTTGTGTATGAGAGATATCAACCCATTTCTGAAGCAACAAATGTTAAAATATTGTTAATGGCACAGTTCATTTCTTCAAAGACCTATATAAATAACATTTGGGACCTACATTCTCTAACTGTCCCTGTAAACACTTTTTTACTGAAATGTGACAATAAATATGATCTAAACACAGATGACAGAACACTGCAAGTATATTCTTCCCAAATTTCCCCCATTAAGAAATGCCTCTCATATCTGCTGTTCTGACAGAGCCAGCAAAATTCAAAATTGTTTATAAATAACTGAAGTGTAAGCAACAAAAACATAGAACATTGGTTTTCCTTATGACCTGCTTGTTGTCCTTTTTCTAAATAAAAGGGGATGCCAGTCCCCAAAGTGAGTGTACGAATACAGAATTCAC